AATTTGATAATTTGATCAACTTTCGCTTTTTCACACACCACATCTTAATACTATTGATACGGCCGATAACATTTTAACCGTTGTTATGACCGAAACTGTATCACTTGGTGGTCAGACTACTGCTGCTGCTGTTGCTGATTATCCTATTATTCTTTTCGTTGACATCTTACAAAGATGTGAACAGCCGAAAAGTCGAACATAATCAATAACAATGAACCTGTGACAGCCACTCTCGTCCACCTGCATGCATCCATCCGTTTCCATATCATCACATGTTGTGCGCGAACGACGAGTATCACAAGCAAACGGCTCTGAAAAACTTCATGCATACAGAAAATAAAAAAAAAACCATATTTTTTTTGCTTAACGACAAGACTGAGTTCTTTTTGCAATTGTTCAGCTGACTTTCCCCTTCTCAGCTAGTTCCGTTACTAGATCTCCAGAAGACTAATGGCCCAACTTCTGCATTCTGCTGTACATTTCGAGAATAACACAGAAACATCAAAATTTCGAGTTTGTAGCTCACCCATGTAAAACTGAGCTACAACTTAAAAATTCTGATGTTTTTGTTTTATTTGCAAAATCTGTAGCTCAAAATTACTTGAAAGAAAAAAAAAACAGCAGTCCGCCCGTACTAACCAAATCACGATAAAATGCAGTAACCAAAAAACGAGTAACAATGTACCTGGTTCATTGTTGCGTCTTTTGAAAGGATTAGAGGTACCACAACCTATCGCAGCAAGTGTGCATGATTTGCCACTTCTGTTGAACACTTGAGCAGTTGAATCAATTCCTAACATAATAATGTACATTTTTCTTTGTGAATTTCTCACGAATATTCCATCAGCAATTTTAGCACTATGACTAAAAGCTCCAATCTCCACGTTTACTCCCACTTCTCCCTTGTCTATTTTATCCACTTAAAAACTCATCCTACTAACTCTGAAACCCACGTGAAACAGATCCCCCTCCCTGAAGATTTAATGAAGATTCATTAACAAAAACTACCTGTTGGCAGAGCTGTCACTATTCTTCTGTCATCTTTAAGACTGACTGAGAGCAGTGCTGCTAAAAAGAGCTTCAGTTCCTGCCAGTTATTAATGAAATGTACTATGCAATCAAGTCAGGCTCTCAAAATCACAATTTTTCAATTCATAACACTGCAACATATTGAAAAAACAGTTAAATGCTACGAATGAAAAAAAAAAAACGCGGAATGTAGATGAAAAATTCTAAAACCATTCATGCAAACAATGTGGGTGAAGTTACCGACACGCTTCCATATGCTATTATAAAATGTTAAAATAAAAAAAGAAATAACCTGAAAATTTTGAAAGACTATACTGGCT